AGGGCCTTCAGCCCACTGTCATTCTTGGAAAGTGGCCCAAGGGGTGGCAAGATAGCTGTGGGTCATACTCAAAGAGCTCTTTGTCATCAGTTCCCCCAGACCTCTAGAGAGGGAGGATGTGAGGAAGATGGTCCTGGAACCTCTAGTGGCTTTGCTCAGGCAGAAGCTAGCAAAGAATGTTCTTAAATGTCTGCTCCAATGAGCTTTGGATATCTTAATTCATTAAGGAAACAATTTAGAAAGAGGAGAATACAATGCAGGAGAAACAGTACACATTGTAGGGCAGCAGACCAGGTGGCTTTCCCTTCAGTGTCTGCAGCCCCACAGGCTAAGTCAAAACCAGGGCTAACCTGTCACCCCTTACCCTCAGTGTCACGTCCCACCTCCCCAGCCCTGTTACCTTGGACCCAGTCCTTTTCCCTGCATGGTATTCATGTGACCTGCAGGAAGGAGGGGACGATGGGGTGACCTGCAGAAAGGAGGGGGCAGTGGGGTGACCTGCAGAAAGGAGGGGGCAATGGGGTGACCTGCAGGAAGGAGGAGACATGGGGGTGACCTGCAGAAAGGAGGGGACCGGTCGTTCTAAGACATGCTGCTGTGCTGGGAGCATGCTCTGCATGCATATTTCCTATCTCAGAGGACAGGTGAAGTAGAACCAGGGAAGACAATCTGCCTAGGAAAGCGCCCTTGGTCAGCTTGTCTAAGCGCTAGCGGCCAAGGATGAGAAGGTGGTGTGTAAATGTACATTGTAAATGTACATGAAGCAGTGAGGTCCTGAGAAGGGGTCGTAACATGGAAAGCAGGAATTTGGGCCCAGCTGTCTGTGAAAGGCTGGTATGTAACCCAGGGGTGTGTCCAAACCTGATTGATGGGAGTCTTCCTAATGCCCATCTCCTGGACATCAACTATGTGTCCTTGTTGCTGTGTATTGGCTCCGAGGACTGAGGCAGAGTGCCTTGTTCTGCCTGGTATGGCTGCAGCTGCTGTGTTAGTGTGGCATTGTAAGCCTCCCCAAACCCCCACTTGCATACACATGAAACTATGACAGAAGGTAGGTCTGTAGTGGCCAATGTAAGTCAGATATTCCTAGAAGAGTTTTCCCACACTGGTATCCAAGGTGCTCCCTGGATGAGCCACTTGCTAGATTTGTAATTGTGGCTAAGTGATAGTGAACCTCGCTCTCCTGGCAATTACAAGTCCAATGACCCATTCCTACTCTGCACCAAGAGGCTGTATGACAGGGAGGCCATGCTAGGGACCAAGGTGCCTCAGCAGTTCTATTTCATGACTTTAGGGCTCCTCCTTTATTCCTGAAGAAACTTGCTAAGCAGGAGAGGAACTAGCTAGAAGTGCCCGTGCCTGCTGATTTTTAAAGACCTCTTCCCAGCAAGGCCGTGCCGTGCTACCAGGGACTAGCAGTGCTGTGCTTCCTAGCCATCTCCACAGAGGACTTTGTGACCAGAGACTGGCGTGTGGCAGCTGCCTGGGGTGGGCTCAGCTGCCCTTTTCCTGTGTCATTTGCCAACAGCAGCAGGACCTAACAGGAAAGAGCCATTAGTTGGCCATTGGCCCAGGCCTTGCTCTAAGCATCATCCAAACCAAAATGGCTCTTTCTAGCCAGCCCTGAGGGAGGCAGGACAATGCGTAGGTGTGAAGCCAGGGAGGCTAGGCTATGGACTACCTGGGTTCCTCATCCTAGCTCCTAGCAGGCGTCTGGCCAGCCTGTCACTGTCTGACTGTGGCTGCCCTGGCCGTCTGGGGAAGGGCATGATGCTTCCTGAGCAGCCACAAAGAGCAATGGCTCTGAACTTGCTAGAGGGAAGCCAAAGGCTATGATGGCCTAAGTGTAAAGGTTTGATTGCAAAGGTGTGCCTGGCTGAGTGACGGGTAGCATGTCAAGGCTCTGTTGCGGAGAACACAGAGGAATTGATCTTTCAGGACCGGAATCTGCCTTGGCTGGAAGGGCTGATAAAGCTCTCTGCCCATTGGTTGGGGCAAAGCTCAGTGCTGGAGACTTATCTTCTTTTTCCTTCCGATTCAGCCCAAGCCTAGGAAAGGCAGAGCCTTCCCCCTGCCACCTCCCTCCCTCCTCCCAGCTCCATCTGCTTTTGTGTAGACACTCAGTGGTGGGATAGACCTGCATTTGTGGAGGCTTTGCTGATACACAGAGGAAGAGAAAGAGAGACATCGGAGTATACGCGGGTCATCTCGTGCCTTGTGCTTCCTTAGACAGTCCAATGAATGCACATGGGGCTTTAGATACAGCAGACTACAGGTACCACGTCCTGTGCGGGATCGTAGTCAGCTGGACTTCAGGGCCATTCGAGAGACTTGTAGCAGGGCGATGCCCTTGGGCCTTTTACAGACCGACTCCCACCAAGGGCCAACTAGTAACTGGATATCCCAACTCCCTGGTATACCTGATAAACTTACAAAGCCTTCAGGGTGCAAGACAGCGTGTCACCTCTGAGCCATTCATGCCCTCCAGTAGGACTTGGTCATGCCACCTCAGTGACTCCATAGTCCCTCACCTTCCTCTCTGCAAGGCACTGAGCACACTGGGGTATTTTGTACAGAGGCAGGACAATGCTCATTGTATTCCTGGTATTTTGTTATGCTGGCTTCATAAATTCCCACTGCATTCCAGAAATGTTGGCCCTTCCAGAGAAATCTTGTCAGACCTGCTGTGTGGAGTTTGGGGAACAGAAGTGGTTGGGGGCAGTATAGATTCCAGACACTTTCACACACCTGCCACCTTCTCTGCACTGAGTTCCTGGGGCCCCAGGACCATTGTCTTCACCAAGTCAAAGGAGGCCCAGGAAATTTTGGCAACCCCCTCATGATATCATAGCACGTAGTATTTTCACGACAGATCCCTGTGAGGCTGTGACTCTTGTCACCATCTACTCATTTGAAGAAAGTTAAGGCTCAGAGGAGTTCAGAACAGAACAAAAACTTGTATACATTTATTTTTGAACTCCATATATAGAGAAGCTCAAGGATGACTTTGAGCTTCTGATCCTCCTGGCTCTACTCTCTGAATTCTAGGGTTACATACACATGCCACCATACCTGGTTTTATGCATCACAGGGATCGAACCCAGTGCTTCATGTATGCTAAGCAAACACTACCAAATGAGCTACATTTCCAGCCAGTTTAAATAGCTTTCTCATGAGCAGATAGGGGAAAGGGGTGCAGTCCAAATGTAGATCCAGGTGTTTATCCCCAATTTGTTCTGGCTCAGGAATGTTCTGAGATGGTTAAGTTAGAAACCAGAAATCCTGAGTTGAAAGGCAATCTGGAGACTGTGACACCAGCCTGGCTGCAAACACATCTGAGCCTTCATATGTTGCCCAAGGGCACGTTTCCCCTCTGGGAGTTCTGTCAGGACACAGAGCACACTCCGCCCTCTCCCTTGCCTCTGAGGTAAACCAGGTGTGGATGCAGATGGCATGATCATCGGGCATTGCACACCAGGGCCGAAGACAAACTGTTTACCCTGGTCTTTTTGTCTTAAGATGCAAAGACCATGATCCAAGGAGGCTGTTCCCTCAGGCCCAGTGCCACACACACATTCTGCAGTGTTTCATGTCCTAGAACTGTCAGTTGGGAACAGATTAAAATAAAGCCTACCCAGAGCCTTGGATGAGGAATACAGAGACAGGAAGATGACTTGTCTCCTGCTCAGCAGCAGAGGAAGCAGGATTTCAACCCAGGACAGTCCACTCCAGTGGACTGCTCGCCACCCCCACATCCAGTCCGGGTCTGTCTTTCCCTCAAGGTGCTTTGACAGGTGCTGTGCCCTGACCCTAGCTCCCCGGCCACCACAGGCTCGTCCATCCTTCATCTACCCACTGGCCACCCTCCTACACACAGGTTTGGCTCATACTACTGTTTATTTTTTAAAGTGTGAAATAGATACGAAACAGGATTTTTTTTTTCAGTAAAAATGTCTCCTTGCCAACAAGGAAGTTAGTACTCCGTCTTAGGTTAACTTTTGCAGAGATGAGTTCAGGTAGCACATATGGAAAATAACAGTGCCTAGATAAAGGAGAAGCCAAGCTCCACAGACTGGCCCCCTTGAGGGCAGTCCTGTAGCCGGCTCCCCCGAAACTGAGGATTGCCAGAGTCTGAAGCAGAGGCCAGCTTGGACCCAAAGTAAAGGCCCAAGCATGTTGAGCTTGTGAACGGGTTACTCAACCTGTGCCCAAGGAGCTGCAAGCCCAATCAGGTGATTCCCATGAAAATCCCAGGGGAGGATTTTGGTTACACTTCCCAGGGTATGTTCCATGGACTCCATTCTTCCATGACAGTGTCCTGAGAATCCCAGATTAGCATGGCATGTATGTTGAGAGTGTATGAAACCCTTGTTGAAAACTAGGCAGCAACTGATCAAAGGAAACTCACAGTCTTTGGCAAGAGATCCTTCTGGTCCCTGCCCCTATGAAGCTTTTTTTTTTGGTGGTGGGGGTGTTTACGAGACAGGGTTTCTCTGTATTGTTTTAGAGGCTGTCGGTCCAGCCCGGCTTCAAACTCACAGAGATCCGCCTGCCTCTGCCTCCCGAGTGCTGGGATTAAAGGCATGCGCCACCACTGCCCGGCGTCCCATGAAGCTTTAACTTTGAACTTAATAGCACTCTCCCACTGGCCTACGGCTTGTCAGGTGACATTTATAAAATAGTAGCTCTTGACCCTGCACATGTGTGTGAGCCCACAGGTGAGACACACTGGCCACTAAGGACAACTGCAAAGCCTCGAAATATCCAAGCCTGGGTTCTTGGAGACCACAGAGCTGACACATGTCCACAGTCGCTGGCTTCTGGGCTCTGTCCTCTACCACCTTATAGGAGCAGTGCAGTCCCTCACGCACACCCACCCAACCCCACTGGCTCCAGCATGCAAGTCCTGAGCTGGCCTCAATTGGACAAGACTCTTCCCCTAGTGGAAGCATGGAGCCTGGCTCGGGGGCCTGTGTGAGCTGGGCTCCTGAAGAACTTACCTGATGGCTTATCGGTGGAAGATGGGAGGCTAGTGAGAGTAGGCATGGTGGGCAGAGGGGGCGGCAGCACCTTCAGGTTCTGGTCACTCTGGATCTCGTTGGTGGAGATCTGGTTGATGATGCGGTTGTAAGTGGGTGGTTGGTAGACCCGAGGTGGGGTGGCTGGGGGTGGCTGGGGCACGGGCCTGGCAGCAGGTACCCGCTGGCAGTGCTCCTCAAGCTGGGCGATGACCTCCGACTGGTTGTGGGCCAGCATGGCCAGGTGTTGGAACTTGTGCTCCAGGTCCTTGTACTTACTAGCCAGCTGTAGCATGTCGGCCGTCTGGTTGAGGATCCTGTTCTCCAGCTGGGAGAGCTCCAGTGCGTTGTCCCGCTTGCGAATGATCTCGTGCAAGAGCTGCATGTACAGCTGTGTGACCCGAGAGTTCATGTTGCGGCTCTCCTTACGCAGCAGCTTCACCTCGCTCACGATGCCCCCGTCCACCTCCACCAGCTGCTGCAGGGTCTCGATCTGCCGCTTCTGCTTAAGCAGCTCGTTGTTGAGCAGCTCCAGCTCCTGCTTGTGCACGCGGTTCTCCAGGTGCACCTCGGGCTCCTTGGAGTTGACACAGATGGCACCCGTGACCCGCTGCTGGGGCACGATGAAAGTGTAGGTGCACTTGTCCGGAGACTCACCGGCCCGCTTGTACCTGTTGAGGTAAATGTACTCTCTCTGCGAGCCGTCCTCTGCGCCCTCAGCATCACCCTCTGGACCTGCAGCAGCTCCAATTGTGGCCAGCAATCCAAGCCACCAGCAGGTCACACACAGTGACCTCATGGTCCTTGCGGTGTGGTAGTTGATCTTTATGAATGAAATCTCTGAAAGCCTAAGAGTGGAGAAATGGAGTCAGTGACAGCCGCATCCCTGCCATTGGCCTGGGTCAGACAGGACATCACCCAGATACATTTTGGGGAGGCTACATTCCACTATCGTGGAGTCAGAGAGAGAACAGTTGTCCTGGAAGCATCGGGAATATGCCACTCCCAGAGCCCAAGAGCTTGACACTGGGCATGGAGGTTTGGAGGAGTGTCCAGTCTGTCTCCCCTGCCTTGGGACTCTGACTTCCCATTTCTGTCTTCTGTGCTCTCGTATCCCTGAGCTTTCCCCGTGTTCTGCCTATCTCAGCCCTGCCGGACCTATGTTCTCTAAGGGTCTCTCTCGACCTCCTGTTCCTAGACTGCAGCATTGAGAAGGCTTTTCAGCAAGGGTTTGCTAAATGAGTGAGCCGCTAGACACGAAATGGAGTGCACTCATTTAGTAGTGGACATTGTCCATAGAAGGATGCATCCTGTCACATGGCTCCGGTCTATGTGTTTGCCAAGCTACAGAGCTCCCAACGAGAGCATCTGACCTCTTCTTAACCCAAATGCTGTAACAGCCCATGACTTCAGGGTCCCCATCATTGCAGCGAGATTAAATCAGGAAGGAACAGAATGTAGGGACGTGTCCGGCTTGTTTTTTAGATAGTATGTCCCTTCCCCATACGTCCATCCCACATTACAATGTGCCAGACAGTGTGCTGGACGCTGGGGATATGGCTGCCCTCACACCTCATGGGGCTTTCCCATCACCAGAGCTCCCAAGAACTGGAAGAAGGAAGGTCACGTGCTATGAAAGGGTATGACAGCGCCCTGACCTAATAGAGGGGTCAGGAGCACTTCCCTGAGAAAGTGACCTTTACACTGACTCTTGAGGGATGAGTGGGAGTCAGATAGGCCAAGAGGGACGTTAGGATGTGCCCGGGACCACTTCCCTGTGCTCTTGCAGTGTTCTTTGATGGTAGCTTCTCTGCTTTTTAATTTTACAACATATATTTATGTGTGTGTGCGTGTGTGAGTATGCACGTGTGTGTGTGTGTGTGTGTGTAGGGGCACAATTGCCTTAGCACACTTGTAGAGATCAGAGGACAACTTGCAGGAGTCCGTTCTCTCCTCCTACCTTGTCTGTTCCTGTCACCAACCTCAAGTCGTTGGGCTCGGTGGCAAGAACTCTTATTTACTAGTCCATCTCACCAGCCCTAGAGACTCTTATTCCATATCACAAAGCGGGAACCCGAGACTCAGTTTTCAAGTCTTCAGATCACAAGGCTAGAAGGTGCATAGCCAGAATTCAGCCCGGGCTGACTGCTGTTAGCAGTGGAAGGCCACCAGCATCACCACTCATGCACTCCATTCGAATCTGCTGAACGCCTGCTGTGGCACAGCGTCCAATGGAAGCCTCTCCTGGGGCACCCTGGCTGCAGGCTTTACTGTGACCCAGCCAATGGGCAGCTGTAGATCAGACCCTGTTCTCCATGGGGCTGTTTTCTACTGAAGTCCAGAGCCCATGCTTGGACAGTCAGAGGGCCCATTGGGCCAGGCAGAGAGAGTATTTAGTGGAGGACTACTCTATAGAGGGGTGGGGCTTTAGTTTGACAGTGTTTGCTTGGTTTCCAAAGCTTTGACTCCTTGGGAGTTTGTGTCGTGCCCCCCCACCCGCCACTGCAGGAAAATGGGGAGAAGCTGGGCTCCAGGCTAGGGTGGGCCCTCCTGCCGCACCTTCTGTGGGCAGCTCACCTGCCTACTTGGTGACAAACACCTCTGTGCTGAGGCCAAGAACCTGCCAGAATGCCAGGGAGGCACCTTGGCACCAGAGAAAAGACTTGGTTCTAAGCATTCCCGGACATCCAAGCCCGGAGGCTGTGCCATGCTGTTTATTGAGTTTGGTCCCTTCCTAGGTGTGGGTCCTCACCGCCATTGTCTTGGGACTTGAGATCCTGAAGACTGAGTACCTCTTCTGTGAAATGGGGTGGTATAGCCCACATTGCACATTGGGTAAAGAAATGTGAGGGTACAATGTTGTGGTAGCCATGATAGCAAGAACAGCAAAACACCACTAAGAAGCACAGAGGATGGCTGCACTGTGGGTAGCGTGCCGTTGACTTCTTAGAGAAAATATCACCAATGGCCCACATCCTAGAGGACCTAGGTCCAAGCCACAAAGCTGCTCAGACCAAGTTCTGACCCTCTGGGCAGCTGCCCAGGGCTGGCACACGGTGAGTGGCTGGGGACTCACAGGTGTGGTCACTGGACCCCTTTGCCTGAAAGAACATCGCTAGCAAACCAAACTCAACAACTGCCACTCACACATGTTCTGATCGCTCCAAATCCCGGAGTCTTATCTGTATTGTACCTGACTTAAAGGTAAGGAAGTGTAATCTCAAAAAGATGTGAAGTCACGGACCAGCTAGTATTAGAGCCAGTGAGTCACCAAGTGTTCTGGTGGAGTCTGGGCTCACAGCTCCATCTCCAGGGGCCTGAGCTTGGTGGGGTAGTTGGAGTCCAGTGCCTTACAGAAAGGAACAGAAGAACAGAGTCCCTTGCTAGGGACTTGCCCACACGCTGGTTCATCAGTAGTGTTAGTGACCAGTGTCGGTACTTGACCTCCGGTCAGGCAGGGTGTCCCGCCTGGAGACACGCAGCAGGTAAGGTCCAAGTTGGACCACCAAGGGGCTCACACCAGGCTCTGCTCCTCATGCAGCCTTGGCCTCCCTAGCAAGCATTTGTTTTCCCTAAGGATTCTAACCTATCTTCTGCTAGTTTGGCAGTTCCGAATGGGCAATAATGAGTCTGTTTACTTTTCTTTCTTGATATTTATTCAGCTAATTGCATCCCAAGAGAAGTAACCCCCCAGCATTCCAGCCGTCTTGGGCTGGGGACTAGCTCAACTCTAGTCAAAGTGCCCCTCCTTGCTTTCTCCCATGACCAACAAAGAAAAGCAAACCAACTGTTTTCCTTGGCTTAGAAATTAAAATAAAAACACGGATCCGAATCACTTTTCCACATTGTGTGGTGAGGAGTTTCCATTGTGCCGGGCTTCCCTCTCCCCACCAGCCAGGCTTCAGTGACCACGTGGCAGGATGGCCTCTGCTCAGGGGGAGGTGGCCTCCCTGAGCCTGTGTCTCACCCAGCCTCCAGGGGGCTGCATTTGAGAGGCCCCATTGGCCTATGTGGTGGGGGCACAGGCTCCATGTCTACATCCCTCTTGCTGTCATAACACTGTAGCCCAGGCAGTGGTCTGTTCTGTGGAAGAAGCGTCATTCCTGTGACCCAGAGCTGTCTCCTGCCCCATGGCGGAAGCTACTGGCTTGGGATATACTTCTGAGTTCTTATCTCAAAGATTAGGAATGAGAAAAGTTCAAATCAAAAAAATAACTCTAACCAATTATTTCTGTGATCCAAGCATTTGTATCACGTCACTGAATCTTCCCAGCAACCCTTTGGCAAGAGCCCATTGCTTCAGGGCAGCCGTGTAGTTAGGTGCTGGGGCCCACCCGTGTCCTAGGTAACAGCAGGGCAATTTTCCCGTTGACTCCCAACATGCCGAGGTGCTTCGCTGGCTAGCTCTGCCATTCTAGGGGACACAGTCACGGTCCTAAGTCATGGAAATACTAGATAACAGAGTCAGGCAGCAGGTGTACGGAACACACCACAGCATGCCTGCTATGGAAGTGGCAGTGTGCCAGGGAACCCCCAGAAGAAGCCTTGTGACCCTCTAGGCAGCAGGGGGCCGGGAGTGTTCTTGGGGTCTGCAGGACTGGCTCTTGGGGGGTGCTCTCCTGGTCCATTCAGGCTGTAGTCTGCTGGAAGAGTACGCTGCTCTACCTGAGCTATTACTGTACTGCCAGTTGTGAGCACGCACCCAAGGAGGCATCCCAGACTTACTGGAGACCTGAGGAGTGACCTCTGCCAAGGTCACGAGGCCCACCTGTGCCTAGCTGCCCTGCCCTTCAGCTTCTGGGAATCTAGAGACTCCAGCTGTGTCTGAGTGAGTCTGAAGGACCAGAGCATGAGTGGAAATGGCAAGTCCAAGACCAAGCCAGCAGAGAGCACAGCAGACACTTAAACACCAGCAAATGGTTATTCTTACAAAAGCTGCAGAAAGGTCTGGTATGCCTGCAGAGTGGTATCCAAGCCAGCGACTGGCCCCGGAAAAGGAGGGAACCAACTGCAGAGAAAGTCTCAAAACGAGCCATCAGGTTGAGTATGTGGTCATAGTGTTAAGAATAATGGCTGTCCTTGGTTGTACATGTGTGTACCACATGCTCTGTCCCGCTGGCTCTCACAGCTCTATATGTAGATGGCCCCAGGTATGGGTTGACCAGCTTGAAGCTGGTTATCCTCTGTAATTTTTATTAATAGCACCCAGGCAGCACCTGATGAAGGAGGCAGGTCATACCTGTATTGGGCAATGAGGAAAGCCGAGGGTCACCTGGAGTAAACATCAGGACCCAGATTTGATGGTCACTGCAGCCCCGCGCCCTCACTCCAAGGTCACCTTTCCAACCAGTAGGAATAAAAGACACCTGTTTGTCTGATTGTCTAATGGCGCGGATGAGGTTGCTTTTTACTGTTGACCAGATGATGAGCAGACATGACTTTCAAGTCAGTGCAAGAGTGAGTCTTTTTGGATGTTAGAAAGAGCCTCTTGGTTCTGTGAGCAGTGAGACCCTGGAATGGGTATCACTGATGAACGGTGGTAGACTCACCTTGGACAATCTGGAGAAGGAAGTGTGTATCATTTGTTCTCCATGATTCACCCCCAGCCTGGAGGCCAGGGAGGGAATAACCAGTCTCCAAAGGCCACCCTTCTCAACCCAGGATTCTGTGAATCATCCCTCACCAGCAGGCCATGAGGGCCCCAGGGAGGCTGCAGCCATCTCCCCACTTGCGCAGCTTAGCAGTCACAGACCTTTATGTAAGTCCTCTCCATTCAGTTTCCATCACCCACTGGCTTAGCCTTCCCATCTACCAGTCATTACGCCTGGCTCCGTCCTGAGATCAGCCCTGTTGTGGGCAACATGGACAGAGGCGTGAACCAGAGCAGAGAAACTGGGATCACATCCTTCAGCTATGCCTGGAGAAGTGATGGGAGTGGGGTGTGGCATGCCTGATGTCCCAGGCTCTCATGGGCATGCCACAGACGAGCTGCCGGCTTCCAGGGAAGGCTGAATGTATGGAGGCAAGCTGTGGTCATCCCTTGAGATTGCAGGGCAGAGGGTGTGTGGTTAGGCTTGCCTATGCCAGGGGGACAAGGATACTGCTGTTGTTTTTCCTTGCTGCATTATTTGGGAACTGTTTTGAGGTTCCCCCATAGTCCACACACTGACCTCTCTGTGCCAAGAGTCATGGCCAGCAGAGCAGAGGCAAGAGTGTCTGCAGAAGCCATTTGAGAGTCCAGATTCTGAGTTGGCCGCTGCACTTCCTGAAATACCTAGTGTGTGTGTACTGGAGCCCCATATGGGGGGGGGGTTAGGGCTGAGGCTGGCTGCACGGCGCTGCCCTGGGTGGCTTCCTGGAAAACCTGGGTATTGCCCAGAGCTTTTCTTGTGAGCCCAGCTGAGTAGCTGGCATGGGGGTCACTTCAGCCAACAGGGATGGGCGCATCCGTTGAGCCTCAGGATGAGCGCTTTCCTGCCTCCCTCAAGCATCCCAGGCACCCTGTAAGCAGGGACTGCCATTACCCCCATTTCAAAGATGAACACACAGAGATATGGGGTGAGGACAAGGACCAGAGCTGCCAGATGGTGGGGCTGGGCTCTGAGCCAGCTTTCGCACCCATGTGCTCAAAAGTGGACTTAAGACAGAGTCTGGCCAGGTGTTGGTGGCGCGCGCCTTTAATCCCAGCACTCGGGAGGCAGAGGCAGGCGGATCTCTGTGAGTTTGAGGCCAGCTTGGTCTACAAGAGCTAGTCCCAGGACAGCCTCCAAAGCCACAGAGAAACCCCGTCTCGAAAAAAAAAAAAAAAAAGACAGAATCTGATGTTGTCCAAGTGGGCCAGGAGCCGGCTGAGGCTGGCATGACCTTGAGACTCCTGACCCTCCAGCTGCTCTGCTGCAGTGTCAGGTCCTGTGGCCAGCTCCCCAGTTTAGGAGGTGTTGGGGAATTAAACCCAGGTCATTTGGTGTGCTAGGCCAACATACTACTCCGTAATTCACTCATACACACTTGCAGGTCTGAATAAAACTCAGATGGCATCAGGTCATCGTCCTTACAGGCACCTTGCCTTCACATGCTTTCTTCCTGGAGAACCTTCTCCTGCAGTCTTTGTTCCTAAGGTGGGTCTTCTTAAGGCCACCATCTCCACACCAGAGCTCAGACTGTCCTGGTTGGCTCCCAGAGTGTGGGCTTCTTAGAATCCCCTAAGAATACCAGGCCCCTAGTGTAGCATCTGGGCAAATAGATGCCAAGGGCTACATGCAGTCCTTCTATTTTCCTGGCCAGTCATGAGAGAGAGCAGGAAGGAGATGCGGCTCCTGTGCTTAGGGGGCCACAGTAGCAGGCACTCCAAATGCTGATGGCAACACTCAGGGGAGCCACAGGGTCCTGTGATGGAGCCAGGACGGGGGAGAGAAGGGAGGTCGAGCTTTCCCTCAGGGTCCATGGTCGGTATGACTGAGAGCTAGGCCTGTGGTTCGCCTCATGGCTCATGGACTCATCCATCCTGCAGATCTTCTCTGCTGTCTGAGTGGGTTCTGGAGGTTCAGTTAGCAGGGAAAGGAAATACAGCCTTCCACGGCAGGGGCTGTGTGAGGATCAATCCCTGGCAGGACTTTGGCATTCTGCAAACCAGGAATCCCTGGGAGGTGAGGATAAGAGTTCCTTCTGGGCTTTTCTGTGGTGGTCTCAGTTGCCTATTTGAGGACTGACAGCGGCCAAGCCTCCAGGGCCGCTGGCCCCAAGACAGGCTGGTTTTACCAGGGAATGGACCTGCACAATGGCTTGATTGTCAGAGGCCTGGCTCCCCACCCAGCATCTTAGCATTCCTGTGATCAGAATGTGTCTCACAGCGATGTGCACAGGGAGCAGGGTGCGATAACCCCTCCCTCAAGCAGTTGATGAGTCAGTCATCAGAAGCAGGGTTCAGCTTTCTCACAGAAACTCCCCCAAGTAAGGTTTCTGGCGTGTCACATAAGTTTACAGAAAAGATCCACCTCTCCGTACATTAGCTCTTTCTGGAGATTTCTACTACATGGTTGTGCCAGATGACTGTGGGCTTGGCTAGAGCATCCAGGTTAGAGCTGAAATGTTTCTTTCGGCCCACTGATGGAGAAACCATGGAAGAGGTGCTATGTTTCTGCACCTCGGTTTTCACCTCTGTACCTTTGGGACAGTGCTGCTCATCTTGGGGACCCTCTCAGATCCCAGAGCCACCTCTTATGACTTATGCCATCTGCTGGGTGTTCATGGAATTATTTACCACCTGCCTGCCTCATTCCTCTAGGCTTAGGTTCCACTGTGTGCACTTTAAGTCTAGAATATCCCAGATGAAGCAGGCCATGATTCAGTGAGAGGCCGGAGGCTGGCTGCCTGTCCTGGAGGGCCTTCTGTCTGCTCTGCTTGTTTCCAGGTGCCTGATGCTGCCTCAGGAACTGTTAGGTGAGAACGGGGTAGGTAGGTGGTGAGCTCCCACATAGCAGCCCTGTAGGATCTCCCCAGATGCTGATGAGAGAATGCCTTCATCCGTCTGGTCACGTGGGCGAATGTTTACCCAAGCACTGGCCCTCACATGCAGGGAGTTGGGGATGGTGTTAGGTTGTAGGGACGATGTGGAGTACGCAGCCGCGCTTTCTATGATGCAGATGTGGAGAAAGCGTGCGCTTGGGAACCGTAGTTCTAGGTTCAAGTCCCATGGTCACAAGCTGTCATGTTAGGCAGGTTGACCTTCCTGAGCTTCATTCTTCCATCTGAAAAGGGCGTGCTAAAACCAGAACCCATTTCCTAGAGCAAGGGTAGGGATGGCATGAGATAAAGTGCCTGCTCGCTAAGCCCAGTGGGCAACTCTGTGGACCTTTGTGGGCTCACAAAGTCACAACTTCTGTCCAGCCGGAGCTGCGTGCAGAGGCCAGAGAGCCACCAAGTCCAGACTGTGGCAGGAAACCTTCAGTGTCACCCACCCCAGGAGCCCGGGCTGGAAGGCACACGCTGCACGGCCACTTTCCAAATGCCTCTGAAAACTTCGGGGTGGGTTTGGCACTCTGGGGGCCGGAGGAGAAAACCTGCTGCCCCTGGGCTCAGAGACACTGGTACTGTGTGGCACTAGTCCTCTGCCTGTCCCTTTGTAAGACAGGTGTGACTGGCAGTCCTCTTAGGGGACCACGGAAGCTCCATGCTCCTGTCCCCTGAGGTTCTGACAGGGATGCTGGTAAGCGGACCAGGAGCATCCAGGATGGTGCAGGGTATCACTGCCTGCAAGGTTAGCATTGGAGGTTTTGTATGTTTCCCTAGAGTGTACTTCTAGGATGCAAAAATGCTTACAGGTGGCCTCAAACTGAAGTCCTAGATACAAAGCCCTCACCCCTTGATACAGTTCCTCATGTTGTAGTGACCCCCCAAACATAAAATTATCTTGCTGCTGCTTTATAACAGTTATGAATTGTAACAGGGTTTGAGAACTGCTGCCTTAGCAGAGTATGTGCAGGGCAGGGAAAGAGTTGGGGTGCTTGTTCTCCCCTGTGGGCAGTTCTGGTGATTGGGCTCTCGATAGCTGGTGTTCAGTTTTTAGAAGGCTTTGTACACAGGCACTGGACTAAGGGCAAAGGTCTCATGTGCTGCACCTAGAGAACAATGATGTGTGACTCGGCGGCCCTGAAGTCACTGTGCTGTGGACATGGTTAGGTGTGTGTTGTGGAGTAGCTGCACGTGCCTGCTCATCTACTACACCAAGCTGGGTGTTCCATTTCACAGATCAGGAAACTGAGGCTTAGGAATTCACTTATCTTCCAGAGCCACTGAGCTAACACTCAGAAGAGCTCAGACTTGGAGCCAGCTCATAATCTCCACCATACTCTGCCTGTACTCGTGTGGAGAGCATTGAGCTAGCTGGTGTTCTCAGTCTTCTTCCCAGCCCCCGTGGAAACGGATCTTTTTCTGAGTAATCACACTGCCCTCTGGGAACTCTCGTAATCCCACAGCAGAGGCAATAGCTGGCCTGTGACACAGATGTCACAGGGAGAGGGAAGGGACCAGCAGAAAATTTGTTTGGAAATTATCTCATGCGAGTGTTTTCAGGGGACTCTGTATGTGGCGCCTGTAGTGTCCCCTCATAAAGCTGCCGGGCAAAGCATGTCCTCCAGTTTCTCAGCATACCCTGCTAGTTGGAGACCTGGGGGCCATCTGCTGTGTCCTTGAGCACAGAGGGAAAGTCAGGACAGCACTTTGCCCCACTGACAGAAACTTGGAAGTGACATGTTCTGTCCTGCACAGGACGCCTCTGCTCCTGGCCCGCTGGGAGCCTGTCTGTGAGCAGACACAGCCCGGCCCGGCACGGGGCACTTTCTGAAAGAGGGCTCCCACTGCCTCAGGTCTGGCTCACACGTGCTTCAGCCTTAGCATACTCTCTCGCCTGGGTGTGCAGGAGCCCAGAACGTAACACAACTTGCCAGGTCCTCCGCTACCCTGCAGCTCCCAGCCTGCTGCCCGCTCAAGTCCGCACCTACACACATACGTGTACCCGCTACCACCCAGTGTCTGACAGCCACTCGGGGTCACCGCACATGCTCGTTATCTGAAAGAGCTGCGTGGGGTCCACCAGCGAAGTCCTCAACGTCCGGCCCCACACGCCTGTGTGTGCTCCAGCACCACCCTGCCCAGTGCTCACAGTCCTCTGCCTAGTCCGATGCTTGCTTTGGCTCCAAGTAAAAGCAACGTATGACCCCCTGTGGGGTCCAGCTGCACACCCCCAGATGGAGGGAGGAGTCAGGGTCGCTCACCCCTGGCCCATCCACCGCAAGCCCCCTTCCCCTGGCTGCTGCAGTTGAGAGCTGGCCCCTTACCTCTCTTCTCCTGCTCGCCTCTGGCTCAGAGCCTCACATGCTTCACAGTGCCATCAGCGGGGCAGCCTGGCCATGGCCTCCACGAGGGGTCCCAAGCCTCAGGCTGCTCTGGCAGCCTTGACTTACTGGCCTCTGCTGGCAACACCCTCTGCTCTCAGAGGCTCTCGGGGATGGGGCTCGCTGGGGTGTCTCTGGGGCTGCTCCTCCTCACAGTGTGGCCTGCAGCTGCCTCAGTGCATGCTCCTGGCAGGTCCTGGGTCCGGCAGCAGCTCTCAGGGCTTGGGGTCCATCCTCAGGCCGACCCAGCAGCCTCAGTTGAACTCCGGGTTCTTTGTGGAGCCTTTACATGCCGCCAGAGGAAACTGTGAGCACAGCCTGACCCTGGTTGGCTGCAGGCACTTCTCCCCGCCCACTAGTGCAAGAGGATCCCCCAGGCCCCAGAAAGGCTCCGGGCCTCCCCTCAGCTCCAGACAGGGGCGGGCCGCCTGGTGATGTCACACTAGCTCCGGCCCCAGCTGGCCCAGCCCCTCCTGCCCGGTTTGGCAGCTTGGGCGGCCCCCTCCTTCCTTGGCACAGGCAGCCTGGCCAGCTCTGCTCCTGGCTCACCCGCCTGCTCCACTCCCTGAAGCCTGGTGTTCCTGGGGTGCCTTGTGTAGGCAGAGCACTTCCGCCGGACTCAGGTAATGGGTTTGATCAGCTGCAGCTGTGCAAGCAGATGCTTGGGAGCCCAGCTGCTCACACTTCTCTGGTACGTTGCCCTACTAGGCTTTCTTCTCTCCAAACCACTTTGTCCCCGCATAAGGCTGGTCTGGGGCAGTGGATTAGGTGGGATTGGGGAGCCACACTGGAGGAAAGCTGTCGCCTACCTCCTGAGTCACCTGTCTTGGGCTTCCTTCCCCACAGCGTACGTGAGCCACAAGTCAACAAGACTGCAGTGTTTCCCGGGGTCACCTGGAAGGTCCCGTTACAGGGGCGATGTGGGCTGCTGTGTGACTGCCAGCCTCAGTGTTTCCAGCTGCGACCCCAGACAGCGGAGTCCTTGGGAGCCGTCAGTTGTGGAATTGGCTGTAACCATGGAACTCTAAGACTGGCGACTCAGTAGGAAAGGGAAAGGTGACACTGATGTCCTCCGTGCTCAGACCTGTTGGGCTGGTTGGAGGAAGACCAGGCTGGCTATTGGGCATCCTGCAGGAATGTAGGGAGGGGAAACCCTCAAGGCCCAACCAGCAGGCTCACCCGCTGCTGCTTGACATTAGCAATGACTCTTCTTTGGGAAGCTTTGGTGGTGGTGGCAGACGCATGTAGCTACAAACTAGGAGGGAAACTTACACTGAGGACCTCTCTTACACCAAGGCACCATGAGGCCCATTCCTGGTCCCTCCTATGACTGCCTCCCTTCTGTTCAGGAAACACATTTTTTTTTTCTTGCCTTAGCTTCTCCTCAGCCTACCTGGCTCCTCCCTTTTTCTGGCAGTCCCTTCCCTTCGTAGAAGAGACTATGGACCTTACAGGACACCACTCGCCAGAGAGCTGTACTGGACAGGAAGTCATCTTCTACCAGCAGCTGAAGATGCCACATACTCTGCGCTCTGCCTAGGACCTGGACAGGGGTCCTGTGGCTGAGCTCGGCTCCTGAAGCTGTACCTTTGGCAGGAGGAGGTGGGGTTTGCCCTGTCTTTCCCCTTACCCGCGCCGCTCCTCCTCCTTTGCAGGTGTGCGTGTGAAGATGCTGCTGTCGGCCAAAGGCCTGTCCTCTGACAGCTGACACCCAGTCTGGGGAGGCCACAGGGTCTGAAAAGTGCTGGGTGCTGAGGTGCATCTCACGGAGAGATACAACAGCCAGGGCCAGCTGCCTGATGAAGTATCGAAGCCAGACCCACAGGATAGCTCAGACCCAGTAGGCAGTTCAGGGAGAGGGTCAGTCGAGACTGGGAAGAGCCGGTAAAGATGCCATGGAAGACTGCTCCCAAAGATAGCCCCAACAGCTCCCAAGTTACCCGGCAATCCCAACCCTCCCATCAGAGGTGGTGTCCACGCTCCATCCTCTCAAGCCTGCGAGGGTGCTGGCTTGTACAGGTGACACCAGTGTCATGAGGTGAAAGGACCAGAGAACAGGTGGTTGGTTTCAGACAGGTGACATCTGTTCGGTTCACAGAGCTTTGAGCAAGTCAAAGCCCGAGAAGCTCGGGTCACAGCATACAGGCAGATGGTGTTGCCCTTCCAGCGTGTGTGGGAAGTTGCCCCCAGATGGTTCCAGCCCCTAGCTACTGAGTTACCCCCACCTGCATTTACTCTCAGCCCTGCAGTCTTCCTGTTGGGGAGAGAAAGAAGCCATCCACATCTGCATTCCTGGCACGCAGCTTAATGGAATAGCTGTTGTAGGCTACTGAGTCTGGGTGCTGTGTGTTAGACCACGGTAGTAACTCGAGGAGACACCAAGGCAAGAGTAGTTCTGTGGCTCTCTTGTGTTTTGTTTTGTTTGAGTCAGGATCCTACTACGTAGCCAAGGCTGTCCTCGAGCTCAAAGTTATCCTACCTAAGCCTCCTGAATGCTGGGATTACAGACACACACCACCATGCCCAACCACAAGGCATTCTTTAAGTGGAGCTGAGAGAAGAGCGTTTTGGTTGAGGAGAGACGAGGCCCCACTAGAGAGTGGGATTAAAGCCGGAGCAGCCAGTGACAGACTTAGCAATGGCATGGCTGGGATTTTCTTTTTAACGACTGCCATTGAGGGCCTGCTGTCGGGAGCCACAGGCTGGGCAGAGAAGCCGGTGGCTGTGGCTGTAGCTCCAGGACCAGCACAGGCTGCGCTGGCAGATGCAGCTCACGTATGTGGGTTATCGTAACATTTCTGTTTGCGTAATTTACAGCTGCAACCATGTCAGCGGGTGGGGAGAGCAGCAGAGCGACCTTGTGCCCATGCCTTTGCACAGCCCTTGCCCTTCTGGTGGCCTGAGGCAGGCAGGTGCCCTGCTGGGGAGCTCAGGCCTCAGAGTCAGTCTCCGCACCTGCCGTTTGGTGCCTCTCAACCCTCCTTCCCCTCGCTTGTAAAATGTGCGTGATGTAAGGGTCTACCTCAGAGAGCTACTATACAAACTAAATGAGGGGGATTCAGCATGGTCTTCTGGTCTCCATGGATACCAGGCACACTGTGGCACACATGCAAACACAGAGGCAAACCCCGTACACATAAAATAAAACCATTTAAAAAACATTAAATAAGATGTGGCACGTTAGTTAACCCACTCTGGCTGTATTCAGCCCAGTGAATGCTGGCTGCAGTAGTTAGTGGTACCACCTTCACTGGGCTGTCAGCTCCCGGGTGGACATGCTTGCCTGGTAGGCGAGCACTCTAGCGAGAGCCCCTCCAGTCCTGTTTGTGTTATGCCAGACAGGGTCTCCTTGTGTAGCCCAGGCTGGTTTGGGTCGCCTCAGCCTGAGTGCTGAGACTCCAGGCGGGCACCATCACTCTTGGCTACAGCTGGTCTTTTTTTTTTTTTCTTGCTGCCTTTGAAGTTTTTCTCTTCTCTTTGGCGTCACAGCGTAACTCTGATTCGATTAAGGTGATGCTCTTCGCATGCGTTCCCCGCCGGGCCTCCTGGTCCAGGCTGCTTTTCTCCTCCACTGCAGTTAGGGCGGGGCTTTATTTTCCCAGCGTTTTGTGCAGCGTTTCTCTCCCTCCTCCCTCAGCCCGGTTAGCACGTGCGGCCCCGAGACTGTCAGCCTGTGCGTTTCCTCCCAGGCTGGGTTCAGATCCTTCCTCTTGCTCAGTGTTGTGGTACTTTCTCCCTTCTATGTTAATTTCAGTGGAAACATTTTGCCAGGTACTGTACTTTTCAATTTTAACAATTTCTACTTGAACTTGTTTAAAAGACAGACTCTCTAGCCCAGGCTGATTGGAAACTCTGTGTAGCCCAAGCTGGACTCAAACTCACAGAGATCCTCCTGCCTCTGCTTCTCCAGTACATGACCAGCTACATGAAAAGGTGTTAGCAGCCATTGCCCAGGCCGTTCGAAAGGGGCTTTCTGACAGCTAACCCCAGGGTATGTGTCTATTCTTGTCTCCAGAACAGGGAAGGGGGTACCTGCTCTTTCATTCTTTGTGTGATTACTGTTTCTCTTCTGAGAGTACCTGGTTTTGACCTTCGTTTCCTGAAAGTCCTATGTATGTTTATAATAGCCATTTTCTTCCTTAAAAAAGGATTTATCTTATGTGTATTGGTGTTTTGCCTGCATGTATGTCTGTGTGAGAGTACCAGATTCCATGGAGCTGGAGTTACAGGCAGTTGTGAGCTGCCATGTCGGTGCTGGGAATTAAACCCAGGCCCTCTGCAAGAACAGTCAGTGCTCTTAACCACTGAGCCATTTCTCCAGCCCTATAATAGTCATTTGTAAATCCTCTTCTACCAAATCCAGTATCTGAGTTTATTGACTGGGGCAGGGTTTTTTGTTTGTTTGTTTGTTTGTTGTTTGATCATGTGTCACATTTTCCTGCTTCTTCCTGTTAGAATGTGTGCTTTCTTCCAGCCTGGAGTTAAGTCATCTGACTGGTGTTTAGGGTTTATTTTGGTTCTGTCCCTGTCCCTATTTTGTGGACTTAATGTAGGATGTAGTGAACATTGGGGGCTTCAAAAAGCCTGTTTACAAAGCTGCTTTAGCTTGGTAGGACTTGAACTCCAAACTCCACCCTCCAACAAATTGCTAGACTCTCTTTCTTCCAGCTACTGCATTAACTTGTGGCTCCCGGAGTCTCCCCACATGGGATATGTGTTTAGGGTGAGCTAAGACTTGGGCTGGAATACATACAGCAGTTTTGGGCCTTCCTCTTCTGTAACTGTCTCCTTCCTGTGTCTTCTCAACTTCCGGCCTCACGGTCCAGTCTCTTTCCAGTCGCTCAGTTTCATGTCTGCCTGCCACTGCCACACCCCAGCAAGCGCTCTAGTATGTCTGCCTGCCACTGCCACACCCCAGCAAGCGCTCTAGAGAGCCTCTCTCATCCAGCACCCTGCTTCTGTTGTCCCTGAGTTCGGGAAGGTGTTTCACCTGTGCTCTCCGGAGGCTACAGCTGTCACCCTTCTGCCGCCGCTGGTGGAGCCGCATGGGGCATCTCAGTCAGGGCCTGCTCTCTTCGCTCTTGGGCCACCTCCCAGTACCACCTGAGCCTTAGGAAATGGGAGCTGCCGTCTTCTTCGCATGCCTCGTTAGAGCTCAAGCTGTGTGTTCCAGAGATGCCGTTCTCGGTCTCATTTTGTTGTAGTTTAGATGGTGACTGCTTCCCAGCCTGTGGCACTGTGGGAACTTGTAGGAGGCCCATCCTAATGGGAGGAAGTAGTTTTGGTGAAGC